GGCAATACAAACCATGATCTTTAAGAATATTATCAATATTAATTTTCTGTCGTGTACCATAAATATCATACAATAATTTGTCTGCTACTTTTCCTGAATCTCCACTTGTTGCACCACTATCATCCTTTGAAATAAGTTTTCTTAGATTTTGACTACATATGCCATATTCAATAAGGCCTTGTCTATCACTTTTAGGTAACCACAAGTCTTTGTATACACTTATAACATTATGTTCACTACAATCGTAAAGGGTTTCTCCCGCCACTTTAATTTGGTATCTGTGTTGTAAAATTTGACTGAGATTATTTATAAAGTGACTTTTTGTATTACTGATTTTAAGATCAAACGATAGATTAAGTGAACCAGGCACTAAGCAACTATTTGCTTTCAATTTCGGAATATTAATATAAATTTGTTCATTCGGTTTAAGACTATTAGGACTAAAGGTTATACTATAAAAAGTATGACAACCTTTAATTTTTGCCTTAGCAATCTTTTTATAACCAGGTAAAAGCTCTTCTTGTAATAATCTATTCATATATATTAAAACATATTTTATTTTCTTCTTTGTTTATACTGATCATATATTAACAAAGCAGCAGCAATAGCTAAAACCCAAAGATTAGAAGATACCCATGCGATACCTTTAGCTCCCCAAGATATAGCCTGAGCGATAATATTCAGTAATGGTCCTAATACTGGCAATAATTTTTTACCTATATTTGCTATTGCCTTAGAAAATTTATTAGTAGATTGAGCAACTTGTAGGATTGCTTTTCTTGCAGCAATGACAATGGTTGTAATTATACTAGCTACAGATATAGCTAAAGCTGATAATTCTGAAATATTTTCCTTAACCTATTCTTTAAATCACTGTAATCTAGTAATGTCTTCTTCCTATTTATCTCGTACATCCTCTTTTTCTAATTGATCTTCTTCTTCTCTAATTATAATTTCTAATTCAGCAGCTCTTTCATGCAAATTAGTTAATTCATCAATATTGTCAATACCATTTTCATTTTCTATTTCATCTATTCTAGCTATAGTTTTGTTTAGCTCTTCAGTAAAGTGATTTATTTGTGCTTCTATGAATTGTGGGCGTGTTCTTTTATCAATAGTTTCAGAGGGGGCCATTACGCCTATATGTTCTCTAAGTTCTTCATTAGTTATTTGATTGAAATTTTCTGTATATTGATTATTTAAATAAAGCATAGGCATACTCTCTTCAGTTTTTATATATTCATTTTGCAAATTAATAATTCTTTTAATTTCGTTTTTAAATTGTTTAACAGCTTCTTCTGATTTTTTTGTTTTATTGTATTGTAGTACTCCATTACTATTACGTGTTAAAACAATTCTTTCAGCACCTCGCTTATTTCTTGTATTTAATGGTTTGTAAGTAATATTATTTATATCAGTTTTACCTAAATTTAATCTAAAATTTAAACCTTCAGAAGCTGCCATACCTTTTAGGTGATTAAATCTAAACACTTTTTTATAATTTTTTGTAATAAAAGATTCAACAGCAAAAGAAACTTCATTTTCAGGTCTATTAATATTTGTATAAACAGGAGTGGAAGTAGGAACATCAGGAAGATTATTAGTTTTATTTGTCTTTTTTCTTATTGTTACACCATAATTATCATCAGTAAATGATGTTTCATAATAATATTCATTATCTTCTTGCTTATTATCATCATCAATAAATTGAAAATTTTGCCAATCTTCATTATCATCGTTATTATCTTTTTGCTTATTATTTTTTAATTCAATATTATCAAAATCTCCTTCATCCATTATATAGATTACTCTATATTTTGTATTTCACTTTCAGGAATCCAACTGTTATGTTTATTATCATAACCTAGCCATTTAACTAAAACCATCTTTCTACCTTTAACCTTCTTACGTTTTAATATCTTTTCAACTTTATAAACATCGTCTTTCTTATTAACAACTGATAGTTCCTCTTCATAAAATTTACTGATTATAGGCTCTCCTTCTGTATCCTCTATCTCATATAAATTCGGATCTCCTCTAATAACTTTATTCACTTTAAACAACTCTTCTGTAAAATTTGCTTCATAGCCTTTCGTAAATATAGATTTATACTTTGTTATTCTAACCATATCACCAATTTTAATCTTAGGTAATGGTAAATAAGCAACTTCATGACCGTATAATGTATTCCATACTTCATCTTCATTATTTTTATTAACATCTTTAGGCTTCATCAAGATTGTACTGTGTTTTGTATTGTTATAATTATATACTAAATCATCTAATATATCAATCCATTTATATGTTCCTTTACTGTAAAAATATTTCCACATTGATGTTTTAAGCGTTCTGTTAAATCGTTCGACAATCGCAGCCTTTTTATCATTTTTAGTAGAGAAGTACTTAATTCCATGTTTTTCTAATAATGATTTGACAGCTACATTATAAAATTCTTTACCATCATCAAATTGCGCTAGTTTCGGGTAATCATTAAATCTATCTTTAAATTGACTTAATAGTTTTGCAACAGCTTTTGTCATATTATTTGTGTCTTTCCTATAAACAGGAATAGTAAATGCATATCTACTTAATATTTCAATAGCTGTTAATATCCAATAATAACCATTGTTTTTATACTTATAAGAACCCATATCAACTAAATCCATTTGTATTTGTTCACCAAGATAGTTTACCCTTGTTTGTCTGAATTTATGTCTCCTAATAATAGGTTTATATCTAGTGTATGTATCTTGAGATATTAACCATTCTTTAACCTGTTTTCTACTAACATCTATACCTTCTTCTAATGCTTTCTGATACAGCCGTTCTGCTGATTGATACCCTGTTTTCGGATCATAATAAATATCTCTTAAACTTTGCTCAATTTTAATGTCTTCATCCATTTAACTTACTCAAGATAACATTCCAGTAGAATACTACCTACATTAACAGGGTTAAAATTTTGATCTAATATATTAAATATAAGTTCGTTAAAGGCTCCTTTTATAATATAGTAACTTTAGATTCAATATCGTTATATTCGTATACAGTACCAAATAACGACTGAATTGTTATTACTGGTAAAGTTAAAGCTATATTACTTTTTTTTCCTCCAGGGTTATAATTATAACTTGAATTTACAATATTAGAAGAAATTTGAATATAGTTTAATCCTCTGTTTATATCCACTTTAGAAACACCATTTTGTACGATACCTTTTTTCATAGTTTTTATAGTATCATTAAAACCTAACATTTTAATAAGAGTATCAGACAATACTAATACCTCATCATTATTATTAGTTATTTTACAAGTTCCGTTGTCTTCTACCATCTCAAGCTTTACGTTAACAGACTCAAGAAACGTTTTAAGCATTTTAAAAGTCCAGTAACCAGCATCTATATTATATTTTGTTGCGCCTATTGTAAAAGCTAAAGTATTATTTAATTTCACATTTTTATATTCCCAATACACATAAGCTTTTTTGATATATAAATATGAATAGTTAGATGTTACTATACTTTCTTATAAATCAATTTTTTTACTATCTCTGTCTATAAAAATAGTGAACTTCATCGTATATAACATAGCTTATATTATATGTCAAACAAGCAAATAGAAGAAAATGCTATAAAATTAGGTGATGATGATTTAAAACATGTACCAACATGGCCAAAAATATATTTAAAAACAACTAAAACGCCTTTGTTTTCAAATCTCATAGCAGCTGTTAATGGAGATGAAGGCCATTCTGAGGATTATTTCGATCATATGTTACATAGGTGGTCCTCAAAATTTATTGTAAAACCTACATTTCAAAGGCCGGTAAATGTCGATATCTGTAACTTCAGATTGTATGTCACAGAGAATGATTATTTTATGAGTAATTTTAAACCTATAGAAGCCACGTGGTCAAATGAAATTAAAAGTAAAAAAGAACAGCCAACTGGTATAAGATACAATATTAAAAGTCATTTAAATTATAAAAAAGAAGTGTACTACGCTATGATTTGTGGAACTTATGTTTCCAGTTTTTTATGCGGTATTTCGCTTAATCATTTAAATTTTAATAAAAGTAGAATTATACAAAGCCTAGTTAAATACTATTTGTATTATCAGATCCGAAAATTTATGAAGCATCCATCGTTATTAGACAAATATGACTTTACGGAATTGAAAAAGCATATACCTTATAAAGGTATTTTAAAATTTGATAAAAACAATGATGGGTATTATGTTAATTTTCAATATTCAACTACTGATTATAGGAGCTTCATTGCATATCATTCTGAAGGTATTACAGAAATCGGGAAAGCCCTTTTGCAAGAGAGCATTGAAAGCTTTGTTTATACAATTCTAGGCAGCCAAGCAAATACAAGATGGTCAATAGTTAATCATGGAGCTAAAAGCCTCCAAACCCAAAACGTTTTTAGGAAATTAGTAGAAGATACTATAGTACAGAATGATACGACTGTATTGATATCTAACATGAGAAAGAGTATAAAAGACACGAATGTTATTTTAAATATGGCAATCAGTCCTGGTATGATTTTAATACCCAGCCGTATGATCATATTAGATAAAAAGATTGATGGGTATAATAGTATTTTAACATTAGCGAATAAACATATGAAATTCTCTATTAATCCTAAAGTAAATTATTATGGAGTTAAAAAGGAAGAACCTAAAAAAGTATATCAAGATGCACCATCACAACACCTAAATACTCTAGATGAAGTGTATAAAAAACCAGTAGTACATAAACATACAAAAATGATAGTAAATAATCCCCATCAAACAGATATGATTGCTTTACTCGGTATATCAACGCTATCATCATTCATATTAGTTAAATATGTTTTATAATATAATATGAAAAAAGTAATAGATTTTAATCATATTTCGAGTCAGTTAAGTCAAGAGGAATTTGAAAAGCTAAAAAAGTTGTATTTATACTATCACAAGATGTATACCTGTTATAAATGGAAGTATAATAAATTAAAGAAAATTAGACTATCATTAAACATGGGAAGTATTTTTCTAGTCTCGACTGCTGGTATTGTAGGTAGTATAACCGTCAACCCGATAGTTATAGCCAGCTTGAGTGGTCTAGGTGCTTTAGTTCAAGGTTATATGGTTAAGAGTAAGATTAATAATAACTTAGAAATGTGTAAATTTGCATATACATCATATGAAAAAATACTTATGGATATAAGATCATATTTAAGAGGATTAGCTTATGATGAAGTGATATTTCTTTCAGACATAAAAGTTATCGATGATATTATAATAGACAATTGTACTACTATAGATAGTCTGGTGAGTAAATATAACAAAAAATATAAAGATCTGTGAGTTACCTGTAAGTTATCTATAAGATTATCTGTGAGTTATCTGTGAGTTACCTATAAGTTATCTGTGAACAAAATCTACAGTATTATATATAACATGTCTGAAGAAAACCTAAAGATAACTACAGTTAAGAAAGAGAAAGACCCTATTAGAGTCGAAGCTGGGAAACGCTTGGCTGCTATATCGAAAGCTTCTAAAGAAAAAAAGATGCGAGATAGGATTGAATTAGAAAATAAAAAGAAAATTGAAGATAATAGCTGGAATATTAATTACGGATTCTTATTTGGAACTATTGGAGTATTAACTGCTATTGCTAGTCTCTATTATACAAGGAAAAATGATAAAAGGCAGGAGAAATTAACAAACGATAAAGCTAGAGAAGAAACAACTAGTGAAAAACATGTTTTGATACAAAAAAATAAAAAATATAATTTAGACTCATTTGAATAAAATATTTCCTAATATATATGAGTAATACTAAGAAACAATTTATGAATGAAGCTTTTGATTCAGTGCTTGTGACAACAACTGCTGTAGGTCTTTCTATAGCGTCTAAAAAACTACTAGGTCAAAAATTAACAGACACAAACAGTATCAAAGATTTTGCTAAACTAGCTATTGCTGTTACAGCATCAACAATGCTAGTTAAATATGCTCAAGGCAAAAAATGGATTCCTGAAAATCCAGTTAAATCTGTATAAATATATATGACAAGTGTTATTACTAGTGGGGTTGGAACAATTTTTGGATCTATTGTGAATGGGCTAGGTTTCTCTCTGGCCAGCTTTCTATTTCATAAACTTGATAAAAACGGTTACGCTGAGGAAATAAAACGCCACAATAAGGCTCTAGAGGACTTATCTAAGGCTAAAGAGGCATTCTATGAAAATGAAGTCAAGCAGCATGATAAAATTCAACAGCTAAGACAAGAACTTCAATATGCTGATAATGATATAGAACTTACAAACAAAGCTCTAGATGCGCTTAGAAAAGTAAAAACGATACATTACAATGGGTTAACATTTCATAAAGAACCACAGTTAGATGACTTTTATAAAAGATCTAAGAATATGAAAAAACATGAATCTATTACAATGGTAGGGCTTGGTATTATATCTGGATATTTATTATATAAAACTACTTAAAAAATAAAATATATAGTATTAGTATATGTATTGTAATAAATTGATTCATAAAGAGTTAGAAGAGTTTTTTGGTTACGTAAATTGTTGCTTTTGTAATAAAAAGATATGTGATAATTATATTAATAGTTCTGCTAAGACATACTTATGTTGTGAAAATCAAGAAATTATTTCAGATAACAATAAAATGAATGTTTGCAAACACTGTGGTTCTGTTCATTCATATAAGATTGTTAATGAATGGATACCAGAAATTTGGAAGTGTCAAAGATCAGTTCATTCAAGGAAAAAATGGTTTTTTAATAAAATTAGATTGTGTGTAACTTTTGAATATGTTGAGAAATTGACAAATGATTTTATAAAGGTTGTCAGTACTATGATTAAACATAAGTTGATTCAGAAAAAGAATATTAGTATATATAACTATTATATAATACGTTTAGCCAGCTTGAGGGGTATACCATTAAAACACCCTGTTAGAGATATGAAAAATAGTAAGACAAAGAGGATTTTTGATAATAGATTATTTGGTGAAGTATATAAAATCCTTGAGTGGAATAAAGATATTGACTGTACTTATTATAAAAATTGAATACAGTCAAAGAAATAAAACATTTACTATTATATATATTTGATTATATATGAACCTTAAAGATCTATTAAAAAAGATTAGAGATTTTATTCTATGTTGTAAAAAAACTAGGTATAATTTAGAAGGTGTTTTGAAGGATTTTGAAAAAACATTGTATAAAACAAAGGATAATTTAAACGCACCTTAAAAAAAATAATATATATAGTAATTATATATAATGGTTGTAGTAAAAAAAAATAAAGATGTATATAAATTTAAAGGACATGAAATAAATTTAGATTTATTAAATATATTAATGGAAGAAAAACATGTATATTAAATCATTAACTTACGAACTTTCTTATAAAGATAATAATAAATATAATATTATAAGAAATAATCATATGAGTCGCATACAGATGACTGGCTAACTTTTTCAAAAGATAAATATAATATAGAAAATATAACAAAAATATTCCATATATTGTGTGCAATACATATAAAAACAGAACCCATTATGTGTGATATTTTTAAACCAAGCTTAATAGATTGTAGTGGTTATAATTATATCCCAAGATTTGTTGAAATTACTCATGCTATATTTAATAACTATCATGGCTGGGACGATTGTTATTTAAAGTACGAAATTACTAATACAGATAAAGATATTTATGTTATAACATTTAATTTATATGAATATTGTCATCATAATATAACAGCTTCTGGTATTATTAAAATTTATCTTAAACGCATTAAATAACTATTTAAAAAATAAAATATATAGTATTAGTATATATGTGTTCAGATAACCTAATAAGAGGAAGGCCAATAATTTATACTAAAGAACAAATTAAACAACATAGAACTTCATATATGTTGTCAAAACCATGGCATTATGATTCATGTAATAAAACATATAGTTTAGCATATAAAACTTTACATCTTAGAACTAGAAAACATTTCAGAAATTCAAAAAATTAAAAAATAATATAGTTCTTATAATTAAAATTAGTGCGTTTAAATATACTTAAAGAAATATATATAAATTATATATATGATAGAAAATAGAAAAAACTTAAAAGACTTAAAGACAAAAGATGATATTAATAACATTGAAATGAGTAATAATAAAATATCATTATATCATTTCGGGCCTGGGTGGTTATTTGATTTTTTAGATGATAATTTATTATCTAAATTTGATGTATATATATTAATTGATGCTTTACCAACAAAATTAAAACATTATGATCCTGATCAACCGGGTTATGAAAAATGTAAAGATTTTGAAACATTTAAACATACTTTAATATCTGAAGCAATTGAATATGATCTAAAATTAGTTGAACATAATAAAAAATTAAGATTATTAAGATTTAAAACTGATAATCATAAAAAAGAACTATTGTATTATTATGATACTACTGTACAAGAAAGTTTAGATGATCCTGTTATTCGTGCACAATTAAACAATGTGATATGGATACACGAGAAGGGTTTCATACCATGGTATTTCGGTCTTGAACCAGGAATGTTACCCAACACAATAAAAACTGAAGCTAAATTAAGAGAATATTTACAAAATATTTAAAAAACACTCAAAAGTTAAATAGATTAATTTAATTATTTTTATAAAAAGTTTTAAATATAGATTTATTTCTATAATTAAAATTAGTGCGTTTAAAAAAAATAAAATAAAATATATAGTATATATATGAATAGAGATTATTTAAATCGAAAGGTACTTAAAGACAAACCTATATTATATAATATACATAAGATGAATAAAGATAAAACAAAACATAAAGTACTTAAAGACATGAGTATTTTATATAGTATGCCTAATATGAATAAAGATGAACTTCAAAATTTGACTAAAGACGATTTAATCAATATAATATTAAATCAAAAGCCTAAGGTTGAAGTTAATAATACTTCAATTTCCAAACCAGTACAAAAAGTACTATCACAATCCAATATCAAACAAATGACTGTACCTCAGTTAAAAGTTATTGCTAAAGAAAAAAAGGTTAAAGGTTATTATAAACTTAGAAAAAACGAATTAATCAAAGTATTAACACCAGTCCCAAAACCAAGAAAGAGTGTAAAAGAGATGGTTAAAGAGTATGAGAACAATACACAGATGTTAGCAGCTAAAAATAAAAAACCAATACCAACACCAAGAGTTAAAATAAAAGAAACAAACACTGCTATAAAAGGATACACTAAATCATATGAAATAAGCATTATTAACAATAAAACACCATTAATACAAATGCGAAGCACAAGAAAGTATCTTACATATTATATTAAAGAATTATTAACAACAATGAAAGGATTAAAATTTGTTGAAACGCTTAAGGTAACATTTGAAAAATTTGAAATAAAAGATGGTGGTACTGCTGGTTTTTTAACAAAAGTTGCTTATTTTAACAGCCCAGCTTTAACAATTACAAATAATGAAAATATTACTGAATCACTACAAATTTCAGAACAAAATATATTAAACAAGATTGATAGATTCACTCAAGAAGGTTCTGGATGGCTTATTCGTTCTATAGATAATCATTATCTTAATATTGTTAAATACAAGCCATTACAAGGGTCTTCATACATTAATTTACCACAAGAACTTAAAAATAGTAAAAAAGGATTAATTAATATCAAAAATAGAGATAATGAATGCTTTAGATGGTGTCATATTAGACATATTAACCCACAAAATAAGACCCCACAGAGAATTAAAAAATCTGATAAGGAATATATTAACAAGTTAGACTACTCTGAGATTGAATTTCCAGTGACTGTTAAACAATATAATAAAATCGAAAAGCAAAACAGAATTAACATTAACGTTTTCGGATATGAAGATAAACAACCATATTCATTATTCATTTCAAAAGAAAAATTTGAAGACCATATGGAACTACTATTGATAACTGATAATGAAAAGAAACATTATTTATTAATAAAAGATTTTAATAAATTTATGTACAATCAAACAAAGCATAAAGAAAGGAAACACTTTTGTATGCGCTGCCTTCAATGTCTTAGTTCTGAAAAAATATTAAATAACCACATAGAAAACTGTATATTAATAAATGGTATACAATCAATAAGAATGCCTGATAAAAATAACAACATACCTAAATTCAACAACTATCATAAACAACAACCAGTACCATTTGTCATATATGCAGACTTTGAGGCTATTACAGAAAAGATATCTAGTTGTAATCAAAATAATAAAAAATCATATACAGAAGCCTATCAGAAACATACTGACTGTGGTTATGGGTATAAAGTTGTTTGTTGTTATGATGATAAATTCACAAAACCAATTCAACTATATAGAGGTGAAAAGGCTGTTTACAAATTTATGGAAGCTATGTTAAAAGAAGTTAAATATTGTAAAAATATTATGAAAACTCACTTTAATAAACCATTAAAAATGACCCCTGATGATGAAGAAGAATTTAAAAAAGCTGATGAATGTCATATCTGTCACAAAAAATATACTAACAAAGATATTCGAGTTCGAGACCATTGTCATCTCACTGGTAAATACAGAGGCTCGGCACATCAAGATTGTAATTTAAAACTTAGAATAGACTCTGATAAATTAAAGATCGCAGTAATATTTCACAATCTGCGGGGATATGATAGCCATTTTATTATGCAAGAAATCGGAGCTATTGTTAAGAAGCATACATACAAAAACAAAAAAGGAGAAGAAATTGAAATGAATATAAATGCTATACCTAATAACATGGAAAATATATGGCTTTCATGCTAGGTAACCATTTAACATTTCTTGATAGTTTTCAATTTATGAGCTCTAGTCTTCAAAAGCTTGTTAGTAATTTACCTAAAGAATCATTTAAATATACCTCTAATCAGTTTAAAGGTGAAAAACTTGATTTAATGACTAAAAAAGGTATATACCCATATGATTATATGGATAGTTTTGAAAAGTTTGATGAGGGGTTGCCTTCAAAAGAAGACTTTTATAGTATTCTTACTAATGAGAATATATCAGATAATTCTTATAAGCATGCTCAAAATGTTTGGAATACATTCAATCTCAAAAACATGGGTGATTACCACGATTTGTATTTAAAATCAGACGTTTTGTTATTAGCTGATACCTTCGAAAATTTTCGAAAAACGTGCTTAGAATACTATAATTTAGACCCATGTCACTATTTCACATCTCCTGGGTTGTCTTGGGATGCTATGTTAAAGATGACAGATATTAAATTAGAATTAATGACAGATATTGATATGTTTCAATTCATTGAAAAGGGTATGCGTGGAGGCACGAGTTATATTTGTAATCGATATGGTAAGGCTAATAATAAGTATATGGAAACATTTGATAAGAATAAACCCTCAAAATATATAATGTATCTTGATGCAAACAATTTATATGGTTATGCGATGTCACAATACCTACCTACTGGTGGTTTCAAATGGTTAACTGAGAAACAGATTAACAACATAAACCTTGCTAAATACAATGCAGATAGTAAAAAAGGTTTAATTTTAGAAGTTGATCTAGAATACCCTGAAAAACTACATGATTTACATAACGATTATCCTGTTGCACCAGAAAAAGTTAAAGTAACTAGCAAAATGTTGTCAAAATATTGTAAGACAATTGCTTCTAATTACAATATATCAACAGGTTTAGTTAATAAGTTAATACCTACATTGCAAAATAAATACAAATACGTTTTACATTATAGAAATCTTCAACTCTATTTAGATCTTGGGTTAAAATTAAAAAAAGTACATAGAGTACTTGAATTTAATCAATCTCCATGGTTGAAAAAATACATAGACTTTAATACTCAAAAAAGAACTAATGCAAAAAATTCTTTTGAAAAAGACTTCTTCAAACTCATGAATAACAGTGTTTTTGGTAAGACAATGGAAAACTTACGAAAAAGAGTAGATGTTAGACTAGTAACTAATAAAAATAAATTATTAAAATTAGCTTCAAAACCTACTTATGTAAGTAGTAAAATTTTCAACGAGAACCTTGTAGCTGTGCATAAGATCAAAGAAACACTAACCCTTAACAGACCGGCATATGTGGGTATGTGCATCTTAGATCTAAGTAAAGTTCTTATGTATGATTTTCATTACAACTATATCAAAAAGCGGTATGGTGATAAAGCTAAACTTCTTTTCACAGACACAGATAGTTTAACATATGAAATTGAAACTGAAGATGCCTATCAAGATTTTTGGGTTGACAAAGATAAATTTGATTTTAGTGATTAAACAGAAAATTCACAATATCATGATAAGACTAATAAAAAGGTTATTGGTAAAATGAAAGACGAAGCCGCTGGAAAAATAATAACTGAATTTGTAGGTCTTCGGTCTAAAATGTATAGTTATCCAACATATGATAATAAAGGAGATAAAAAAGCTAAAGGAATTAAGAAAAATATTATTAAGAACGAAATACAACATGAAGACTACAAAAGAACACTATTTGAAAAGAAACAAATACATCATACAATGAAAACTATTAGAAGTGTAAACCATCAACTTAGTAGTTATGAAATTAATAAAGTATCACTTAGCTGTTTTGATGATAAACGGTACATATTAGCTAATGGTTGTACAAGTTATGCTTATGGTCATTATCTTATCAATTCAAATAACTAAATATTAACAAACAGTTATAATGTGTAGTAAGCATGTAGCGTGGGCCTCTGTTAGAGTAATATCATACATACCTGCTCCTCATGTTTGACTACATATCACATAACTGTTTGTAATAAGTAATTAATACAAAAGCGATATACAAAAAGATTCAAAATCCTGAAACAATTAGTAAAAACACTTTTAACAAAAATTATATAAAACATATAGATTCCATATTTTGTAAAGAGTATCTATGACATTGTTGCGCTCAAAATTTCAGGCTTAGTTGCCTGAAATTTCTCGCCCGATACAACGATTTAAAAAGATGCTTTATTAACACTTGATTATTAAAGAATATTTCTACCACGCACTGAGTTTTAAGACCATTGTTAAAGGCCACTAGTTTACCAAATATACCACGTAGACTATAAAGCGCGCTGCTACTGATATTTATAAAACATTGTATTATTATACATGCGCTGGTGACATGTGCTAGCTACATTAAACAACCATTGTTAAAAACATGCACTAAGACACGCGCTTGACAGCCTCCTGGCAGGGCCGCTTAAACTCTATATTTTACCCACTGTCGCGATTTAGCTTCGCTAAATCAACAGCCTCCTGGCAGGGCCACTTAAACTGATGCTTTGTTAACACTTGATTTCAAAATCATATAGATTCCATATTTTGTAAAACATTGTATTATTATACATGCGCTGATGAAATGTGCTATCTACATTAAACAACCATTGTTAAAAACATGCACTAAGACACGCGCGCCGCTAAAAAACCAGCTATATTGTTTCCATAGTTTTGTAAAACATTATATTATTAAAATGCGCTGATGAAATGTGCTGGTTACATTAAACAACCATTGTTAAAAACATGCACTTAGACACGCGCGCCGCTAAAAAACCAGCTATATTGTTTCCATAGTTTTGTAAAACATTATATTATTAAAATGCGCTGATGAAATGTGCTGGTTACATTAAACAACCATTGTTAAAAACATGCACTAAGACACGCGCGCCGCTAAAAAACCAGCTATATTGTTTCCATAGGTTTGTAAAGAGCATATATTAAGCCTCTACCAGTCTCGAATTCTTCGAATTCATCGACTCTACGGGGGCAAGCCGAAAATTCTAGCTAAAGCTAGAATTTTTTACCCGCCTGGCTTGCACGATTCTCGTGGGCTCCATCCCCCTGCTCGAGCATGGAGTAAATATTACTTCGTAATATTCACATCATGCTCTGTGCTGCCGAGCCCACTCCGAAACGATGCTTTCTTAACATTTATTTGTAAAGATAGTTTTTAAAAACATATAGATTCCATATTTTTAAACGATAGATTGTAACCTCATGATTTTTACCCCCTTTGAAAACAATTGTTTGTTAAAGATAGTTTTTACCCAAGGTTTAAAAGTAGTATAGTACATGGGGGATATGAGAGCACTTTCTGTGCTCTCGTACCCCCATGTACTATACTACTAATGACTACCGCTAAGGTTGTCGAAACGTCAGTCAACAACAAGAAAAACAGTCCTTCTCAGGACCATTGTTTTATTAATGACTTTATGTGGAATTAGTTAAAATCTATCTTGTATAAGTTTTAGGGAAATTTCGATGATGTCCGCTTTGCATCTGTTCACAAATTTTTTCACAGCTGGTTATTTTCAAGATTATCATAACGAAAAAGTTCTATGTGCCTTCCAATTAGCGGGACTGTGGAAGCATATAGTTCAATTCTAAAGTTGTTATGATTTTTTCCAGTGAAGATAGTTCAGCAAGAAAATATTCACTCAGTTGAAGAATTGGTGGAGTAAAGTTGAGTCTGTCTTCGTGTTCTTCACCAATTTCATCATGGACATGACCTTCCACACCATACTCTCTCAGGTTTTCACTTGAGATATCGATTCCAATGGGATTCAGCGCTTGTCCAGCAATCCATAACCTGAGAGGGCTGGTTCTGGTTGATCTCATTCTGTGATTTGACCAAGCCTTCGGCCACATAATAAGTTTATTGTTGATCTCATGCATATATGTATGATGAAGAGCAGCAATATGAATATCATTAAATGTATCAAGCAATCCCTCATCTTCAAGAAAATAAAACAAACTGTGATAGTAGGTCAGAACACCTTGGTAAACATCCCACCACAGTCTTTCAATCCTTTGATTGTGTGTGCTACATCCTGTCAAGATGCTGCCACGATTAATTCCTCTTTTCTCCAACATATAGTCTGCAATGTGAGCATTTTCCAATCCTTTGTCTGTTCTTACTCGACTTGGCAAGCCATACTGTGTAACTGCTTCTAAGAAATGCATAAGCAATGTCTCTGCTTTGTTGTTGTTAGTACAAACTGAGATGATAGGTAACCTACTAAAGCCATCTATTCCTCCAATAATAATAAAATTCCACCTTATAAGCTGGTTATTTGTATTGATGTGCCATAGATGGTTCGGTCTCTTAACGTTGTGAATTCGACGATGATGTTACCCCTCTTCCTGTTTGCTACACCCTGGCTATCAACTCGATGAATGGCATCGCGAAGTCGATGTCGTTGAACTCATATCCCTTTCGCTTTAAGCAACTGTTTAAAAATGCTTTCGCCACAATGCGGTATTCTCTGGCCATTTCACGAGCATGAACATCCAATTCATTATCAGAAATGTCAATAAAGCTGAATTTGGAACGACCGTAAACTCTCATTCGACGATATATTGTGCTTTCAGTTACAGATAACATTGTTGCAATTTCGCTTATAAAGAAATCTTCTTCTATAAAACTGTCCAATAGCTCCCTCAGTGTTTCAAACATAGCATGGGTAATCTCATTTGGACTTCTTTTTGATGACCGTGCATTTCCATACTTCGTGCACTCGATTCTCAAAGACTTTCACTATGATTAGATAAGCCGAGTTGCCTAAAATCATGCAATGAAAGTCTGCAAACAATATCTGGACTAACGCGTTCTTCTATAAAACTTTGAGTTTGAGAGCTAAATCCAAGCTTTTCCAAAACTCTTTGCATGTCACCGATTGACGTCATTTATTCCTATTCCGTATTGCGTATTATACATAGTATTTTATCATGTATTTCATCATTTTAATAATATTCATGAAAAAATTCGAATGTGTGGTTGTTTCCGTGGGTATGTTCTGCCGGTAGTGAGTTTGGATCTTGTCGTTTTATGGCGTTTCTGTGTTCTGTGAGTCTTGTTTCAATTTTCTTAGATGTTTGTCCTATGTATTTCTTTGAACAGTCTTTACATGGTATCATGTAGATCGCGTCAGTTGTATCATGAATTGTTGTTTTGTCTTTATGTTTGGTGGAACATGAGTTGAGTTTTTGTGTAGGTTTGTGGCGACGTTAATATTAAATGGTCGAAGAAGTTTGGCAGTCATTTCTGATGTTCCGTTTATGTATGGTAATGTGACGATTTTTACTGTTTCGTCCGGTTTTTGTTGCTTTTGTCAGTTTGTGTTTTGTTTTGTATTTTGTATATAGTTTTTGTTTATAAAGTTTATAGGGTGATTATTTTTAATAAATGTGGAGTATAAGTAGTTGCGTTCTGTTTTTTTGGTTTCTTCCGTATTACAATGTGTGTTTATCCTGTTGAAAAGTGTTCGAATGCATCTTATTTTGTGTTGTGTTGGATGATTGCTGTTGAAATCGAGTATTTGGTCTGTGTGGGTGGTTTTGCGGTATACTTGTGTGTTTAGTGTAACGTCATCAACAGTGGCGTAGCTAGGAAAAATAGTCACTCCCGCCAATCCATCTCGCGCCGGAGGCGCGACCCCACTAGGGGGGGGGTCCGGGGGCATGCTCCCCGGAAAATTTTGAAATCCAGAGCCTTGGAAACAGCATTTCCTGCGATTTCGAGGGCGAATTATTTGTTGTACAATAATTTATAAAAACCCATTTTTGTTAGCTGCATTCTTAATGTGGCAATCGTTGAAACTGCAACTAGTTAAAAGGTACTAAAGGTGGCTCAGAGAAACGTTACGCAGGAGACAATTGTCCCCTAAAACATAATTTACTCATCACTGCCCTGCATAAACAGAAGAAATTTGTATTAGCACAAAAATAATATAGTATACGACACTTCTAAAGTGCATAGAGAGAGATTTTTCTTAGCATTCTACTTGTTAGTTTAAACTTGTTTAGATTGGGGCAAGTAGACAGGGATGGCTTTATTCTTTAAACTTATGCTTAATTTTCTCAATGAAGTACCATGTATTATACGAACAAATATCAAAACACATACTATACTCATCATTTATAAAGAAAGGCCAGCCTCCTGGGTTTTCTACAAATTTTCAACCACCTCGTTATGCAACACCTCTGATTCCTCTTTCTTTTCAATGATATCTTTGTGAATAGATATTCTACACAAAGAGCTAAGCCGACCTTGACCCATTCTATTTCTTAAATAGCTTTTACCCTTTTAAGCAAGAAAACGACCTCTCTACTGAAGCACTTGCCACTGCCAACACACCATTTTAACAAATTTACCACTTGACCTAAACTCGACTGGAGATTAAATTTGAAGATGTATGTAAGAACCTCATTACTGCACTCTTTGTGAAAGTCCTTGTCGTTGTAAATGAAGGAAAGTTGACTCTCCAAAGTTTGGATGTCAAAAAGAGGACTATACTTATCTTTGAGAAGATTGATCTTCTCCTGTGGAACTATGCCCTTCCATGTAGTAAATAGTTTAGGATTTACAAGGTCTAAAAACTCGAACTGATTAATATCTTGAAATCGTTCACTTAACATGCCTTTAATGGAATCAATAATCTCAAAATAAAGCTGTTTGTAATTGTATCTACTATCTGCTCTGGTTGCTGGTGGGCCTACTTTTTCTAGTGCAGTTTGGTAAAACTCGGTGAAAGCTTGATCTGTGCGAAGTGACACAATAAACTGCTTGAAATTGTCAATCTTGCTTATGCCATAGTTAAAATGGGTTTCCCTATTTTGAAGAATGGAATACAAAATTGTGGACTGTTCTAAAATCCTGTAAAAAACACACACTAGAAAACAAAAGAGAAAGCTATCAAAATAATGCAGTAAGCCACTTATTTTACTTAATGACTCATCATCCCACCCAGCTGGTTGTTCAAGTACCCCCTCAAAAATATCTAAAAGTTTTCCATAGTTTTTGTGCAATACATTGATTAATCTAGAGCGATAATACCATCTTGTTTCACCAGAGGCAGGAAACTCAAGGTTGTTAGATGTGAGAAAAGCTTTTCTTTTTGGGGCATTGCTTGTAAATGTGCTGAATGTAGCTATATTAATAAAAAAGATTTTAACAGGAGAAATTGACGAGGCTGACTGGCATAGGACCAGGTTAAATCTATGAGCTGCACAATGAACAAAATGAGCAAAAGGATACTCTTGTCGAACCAATGCTTGAACACCATTGATATGGCCAGACATGACAGAAGCACCATCTTATGTTTGTAAAACCAGTTTTTCTTTTATATTAGAATACTCACCAAGTTTATCTTTGACAACTTGTGATATTGCTGTGGCATTTCTGTTCATACTTACATCCACAAATCCTAATTGCCTCTCCATAATTTCAATTGCTTTGTCAAACCAAGCAATAACACTTAGCTGCTCTTTGGTGGAGACATCAGATGCTTCATCAACCTGAATACTCATAAATGTGCAATCATTTATTTCCTTTCTGATTTCATCTTCAATAATTGAATCAAGACAGCTGATAAGACCATTTTGAATTTCTGGGGAGACTCCAGTAAATCTTCTGTCACCAACTATATCAGATTCTGCTAGTCTACTGTGCAGTCGACGCTCAAATACAGAATCAAACTTAGCAAAACATTCGAGCAACTCTCTATAATTACCTTTGTTCAAGCTACCTTCGGACTCATTGTGACCTCTAAATGGCAACTCTTGCTTTGACAAATACAGCACGGCCTCAGTAACAGTTTTAAAATTTCTCGATTTTGTCTTACCTCCTCATTGTGACGCTGAATCTCATTTCTTCTAGCGAGGGACATAAGACAATCAATTCGTTCACTAGCTCCATACGTTTTCCATGTCTTAAATGCAGTCAAATGCGATTTAGATTTTCATGCTTCTTAGCATCAGACATAATACTCCGCATATCGTTGTAGCCATTCTTAGTCCACGATGGCGATGTTTTTGGGGAAAACATTAGACATGGCCAACAAAACACTTTCTGCAAGGTTGTACTGCCACACAGCCAGTCCTTCGCCTCATACCAATCTCTCTGAAATGGTCTTCCCTTATTTTGGATAGTTAAATCAGGAGTAGGCCGTTCATGAACGATAACATTCTGTTCGACCGACGATCGAGCAGAGAACGGTTTAGCTAATAAGCTATTTACTAAATCAACATCAGTTGAGCAAATTGCAGTCGCACTTGAAGCCATTGTGTCATACACAAATACAAAATAGCAATTTGAGAGTAAACACAATGGAAAATTCATACCGACAATGACACGTAATTTGATAATCACTAATCGCTGTACTCGTATTAAAAGGTCGAATAATTACAACCTCCGCCAATTTAAAATAGCGGAGTTCGACTATAAAAACAGCAGATTTGAGCATGCGTCAAGTCCCTTAGCCAACCAGAATTCAAAACTTCTTATATAGAATTATATTGTATGTTCCGCCTCTGAAGATGGGCGGAATACGTGGAGAATCGCGCGAGTATGCAATGTGCGAGAAAAGGCGGTTGCTAGGTTACATAACAAATCTTGAGATTTTGCTGTATTACGATTACGAAATACCTAATAAAAGCGTAAATATGAACGAATAAAACATAATATTACAAATTGTTCGTGAAATAATGTATATCTTATGTCCAAATAGAATATTTATTATTTTTTTGGGAAATTTCTACTCCCGCCGGGCGGGAGTAGCGGGACCGCTAGCTACGCCACTGGTCATCTGTTCTGGTTAGTAGGATGTCGAGGAAGGTAAGTTGTTTGTCGTGCTCTTCGTTTTTAGTGAAGGTAATGTTCTTTGTGGTATTGTTTATGGTGTGTAGGATTTGTTCAGTTTTGTCTTTCTTGATTATGGCAAAGATGTCGTCGACATATCTTTTCCATAGTCTGATGTTTGTGTTTTTTTGACTGAATGTGTTTCGACGTGTTGCATGACAGCTTCTGCGAGGAAGGTGGATAGTGGTGATCCCATTGGTGTGCCTGAAATTTGTCTGTAGTATGTGTTTTGGAAGGTGAATTCAGTGGAGAGGCAAAGGTGGAATAAGTCTAGGATGTCATTTTTGTCTAGTTGTGTTGTAGCTTGCCAAGTTTTGTCGTTTGTGAGTAGTTCGTTTGTAATTTTTTTGGCAATGTCTAGTGGTATGGATGTGAAGAGTGATGTCACGTCGTAGGATATCATGATTTCGTCTGGTCGTAGTTTAATGTTTTCAATACTGGCGAGGAAAGTGATGGCATTTCTGATGGTGTGAGGTGAATTTTTGACTAATGGATACAGAATGTTATAAAGATATTTTGAAAGTTCATACGTAGGTGATCCTGGAAGCGATACGATAGGTCAAAGTGGGTTGTTTTCTTTGTGGATTTTTAGTAGTCCGTAGAATTTGGCGGTGGATGCGTCATTGGGTCGGATTCTTCTGTAGTCGTTTTCATTTAGTTTCTTTTTGTCTTTTAGTTGTTTCAGTTTCTGGTTGATGTGGTTGGTGGTCGTTTTGCTGGGGTCTGTGTGGAGAAGTTCGTAGGTGGTGGTGTCTTGTAGGAGGTTTTGGCTTTGTCGATGTATTCTGATCCGTCCATGATGACTGTTTTGCGTCCTTTGTCAGCTCGTAATATGATTATTTGGTCGTCGTTTTGTAGGTTTTTAATTGCTCGAAGTTCTTCGTAGTTTAGGGTGACAGGTGGTTTGTGGCAGAGGTTATTTGTGATTTTGTGACGAATGTCTTCTTTCGTTTGGTCTGTTAAGTTAGTGTACTTTAAAGCGGATTCCAGGTCGGCAGCGTAGTCAAGTTTGTTCGGGTCTTTAAACTTGTAATTTAATCCTTTGTTTAAAATTTTAGTTTGCTGTTCGGTTAGTGGTTTTTTTGAGATGTTTGTGACAAATTCGTTTGTGTTGGGATGGAGTTGTTTGTAAGATCTGGATTCTTGTAATTTTCGATGAAGTTCGTGGTGTCGTTTTGTTCTATATGCGGATGTTGCTTTTTTGATGGCTTCATTAATGGATTTGGCGTCTGATTGTGTAGTGTATGTTGTTACGGTTTCTCGATGTTCTTGTGGTTTATGACGGTAGATTCGTAAGCGGTTGTGGGCATCTGATATGAGGACGTTTAACATACGGCGGCCGCTTGATTGTGCAATTTGTTGAACGTGAGTTGTTTTTAATGGTGGCCGATAGTTGATGCTGTTTGGTAGGATTCGTTTTTGTTTGCATTTGTGTAGGAAGTTAAGCTGCTCCAATGTTGATGACTCTTTACGTGCGAATAATTCCCATTTTCTTGTTCTTCTGAGAATATCTATCCCATATGTCGATTTTATAAGTTTGAAAATTTGTAATCCAGGCATTTAATACATAAAACATAAAAGTTTCTCCGGATTTTAAGTGATTTTATTAAGCTTTCGACTCGTTGCTTCGAGCCTTCATCAGAATGAAGATATTTATTTACACGTGCTTTTAGCTTGGAGACGTTTAGAGCGTCTAATTGGATTAGTGGGTGGATTAATGTGAAATGATTAATGGGGTGAAATGCAAGGCCATGGGTTTTGGTGTATTGTGAATATGATTGGTGTTAATAATATTAGAGTGTAGTGTTTTAGTTTTGGTGTTGTTTGTAGTTTTTTTGTCCTTTTTCTTTAGTTGTGAGTACATGATGGGTATGTCGATATGTCAGTTTATTGTGTCGTTGTCTTTACTGTACCAAGCTTCTTTAAATTCGCGTGCGTGTTTAGTCGGTGCGCGTCCGAGTACTTTGGTTTCTGTCCATTCGAATGTATGGTTGTTTCCATGGATATGTTCTGCCGGTAGTTAGTTCGGATCTCGTCGTTTTACGGCGTTTTTGTGTTCTGTGAGTCTTACGCATTTCACCCCATCCAATCATATTAATCCACCCACTAATCCAATTAGACGCTCTAAACGTCTCCAAGCAAAAGCACGTGTAAATAAATATCCTCATTTTAAATGAACGACGAGTTTTTTTATCGTAAACATATAATGTAATATCTAAAGGCGGATCTCCACTAGACGATTTTTATGACGATCGTCTTAAAAATTCGCTGAGCCATATGCGCAGTAGGAAATAAAAATCGTCGACTACAAATCGAAACGGTTTCTACTTTTCGTCGAGCGCTTGACGATCGTCGTAAATTGAACCAATGAAATTTCATCCCGTGAAACTAATTACCATTTCTCTAAAGTCAAAATGGCTGCCACCAGTGGAGAAAACGAATTCCAACTGAACGGTACAAATCCTGTAGAAAATATACCGTCAGAGATTCAAATACTTGCATCTCCGAGGAATATCTCAGTGGTACAACATTTTGTTGATCAAAATGTGGTACAAGATGTTGGAGAGCTCGATAATGAAATGCTTTTGCAAGCTCTCCGAGACTATAGTTGCTTGTGCGAAACAAACAATATAAACTACAAAAATAGGACCATGAAACTTAATGCATGGAAATCTTTGTCTCGAATGTTCCAGCGAGAAGGTAAGTGCTCTAAATTAATGGAGGACTTCAAGAAACTTGAGAATTTCACTTATGTGTTGTTTGGTTATTGTGATGTAACATGTTAAACATGCTAAAGTGGACAGGAAAACTTCCCGACGTTTCTGCATAAGGTTGATCGTCTCACCATTTCGTTTGACTGTGCTCCTTGACTATATGTGTTATTTCGTATTTCATGTCAACTCTAACAAAATTTGTTTCTTGCCCTTTTTTCAGTTCCATACCTTCAGAAAATTTTTAAGAACCTTAAAGATTCTCTAAAAGAATGCCTTGATAGGAGACGAGCATTGTCTACATCTGGGGCAGCTGCTTCGACACTTCCAACATGCAAATATTTTGAGGTCATGAGATTTCTTCATGAGAAAACAAGCAATTTGGAAACTCAGAGTAATGTGGACCTTGAAATCCAAACAATACCAGAGAACATATTGGACATATCCTCATCACAATCTCCAGGACTTAGTCAGCCTTCTTCAAGCTGTTCAAGCGTATCAGATGAGGCAAAATATGGTAAAAGAAAACGTCCTAATTCTAACGATCAACTAGACCCATTTCTTGACCATGTAAAGAGTATGGACCAGAAAATGGTAAATTATTTAGAAGGAATGTCCAGTAAAAGAGAAAATGAAGATAAGGATGAAGCAGAGTTATTTTGTATGAGTCTTGTTCCAGTTTTAAGAGATATGGAAAAAAGCAACTCAGACAAGCTAAATTAAAAATTCAACAGCTTTTGTATGATTTACAATATTCAGATACCTAAAGAAAATTGTTGTAGAACTTCACAGATCGCATTAAAAATTAATAACATACTCTCACTTATACAAGATACATTCCTTCCAATGAATACAGATATATAGCAAGTGAAATCATTTATTTTTAGAATTATAGCTTAAACATGTATTGCTAACTATATAAGTGAAAAACCTCTTTCGTATGAAAACCCATCACATCACTAATGCTCATATTGAATATAAATGGCTTCAAATTTGTTTTTTAATTTGAACACCTTACAATTTACCACTGCCAGTCAACTGCTCATTCATTATTAAAATAATCAGCAAATTGTTCACGAACCCACTTAGCTTCTGCACCATAGTTATTTGATGCACCAACATCTGTAATGTCACCCAATCCATTCATACAATTTGCATCTTGTCGCCACTCACCAGGGTTAAACTCATTACACATTTGCCCATCTTGATCAGCAAATGATGGTGGGCAGTATAGATTTGAATCGTCATCTTCATTTATGCGCATAAGGAAGTTATGCAATGCCACAACAGCTTTAGTTATGGCAATCACATTATCAACTTTGGCAACTATAGGCCTATGAAACACATGAAACCGACTAGCACATATACCAAAAGCATTTTCAATGACACGTCTGGCTCTGCTTAGCCTGTAATTGAAAATTAGTTTCCTCTCAGACAGGTTTGAAAAAGGATAGGGCTTCATCATGTGGCGTTTTAGGCCAAATGCATCATCCCCTACAAATACGTGGGGTAGTACTTTCGTTGAATGGGTAATCTTGCCATCTGTGGGTATGTTGAGAAGCTTGTTTTCAATAGCATAGCCAAGATTGCTGTTGGCGTACACGCTGCCATCACTTTGCCGCCCGCTATCACCAATATCAACCAGTGTGAATTTATAATTTGCATCACTAACTCCAAACAAAACAATGCTATGAGTCTTTTTGTAATTAAAAGAACTCGATGTCTGTCCAGCAGGAGCAAACATCTGCTCATGCTTTCCACCAATTGCTCCCAGCATATTAGGAAAGTTCCATCGATCTTCAAAATCTTTAGATACTTTTTTCCAGTCACTTTCAGTGCAAGGTGTTTTCATGAAACCCATTTCCTTTAGTTTGTCCAAAAGTGCGTTGCATGTTTCGTAGATAATTCGACCAACAGTCGTTGAGCTCTTTCTATAATTGGCAGCGATAGTTGTATGAGCATCCCCAGTTGCCAAGTATCGCAGAGTTACAAAAAGTCTTTGATCTACACTTATTAGTTCTCGCATTTTCGTCTCTTTCTTTTTTATCATCGGGCAATATACCCCAACAAGGTCTCAAAAGTGTCAGGTAACATCCTGAAATATCTGAAAAACATTTCATGATCGTATAATCGCAAGTCTTTAACTAGCAAATTGTACTCTCCTTTCTCATTTCTTTCCTCGTACAGTTTACGCATCCAAAATCTTGGTGGTTTCGCTTTGTTTTCATGGATCTTACTCTACATGCATGCAGTAAAATCAAATGCCTTCGAAGAAGTAAATAATGCATTAAAGTTTGATTCACATCCGCCATTTTCTCAATTCACATTGCAATTTGCAATCGTCTTTGACGATTTTGTTGACGATTTTATTTCCTACTGCGCACGTGGCGCAGCGAATTTTTAAGACGATCGTCATAAAAATCGTCTAGTGGAGATCCGCCCTAACACTAATTCTGTAATTTAATACACTTAACGATAGTCACATACACATATATATATATCATGTAAATAGCATAATCACCTTCATTCTATGTACTGAAGATGACATAAGCATGCCAAAATATGTTTACGATAAAAAAACTCGTCGTTCATTTAAAATGTGTGATATCCATCGTGCTTTTAATTATGGAAATATCCTCATTCTGACGAAGGCTCGAAGCAACGAGTCGAAAGCTCAATAAAATCCGGAGAAACTTTTATCTTTTATGTATTAAATGCCTGGATTACCAATTTTCAAACTTATATATATATATATTACGTTCACCGTTACCAGAAAGATTTAAGAACAGAAGACTTTAACTATTTTATCTTTATTCCAAAGCCATCATCAGAGAATATATATAATATATTAATCCTAAGATTATTATATTAACTATTTTATGTATTATGAATATTCAAATAGAGAAGGTTATCAGCACGAAATAACAGGTTAGTATAAACTTATCTGTCTATCACAACAATAAGGCCCTGTTTACATGAGACCAGAACGAAGTCAAACAGGTACCAGCTCGTTTCAGTTATAGTATTATTTATAGTAGATGTTTACAATGGACCGTTTCGAAAATAACTCGGAGCGGTCTCAAGTCGGTACGACTTCGGATCGACTAGGACAATCCATCTGAGTCCCGAACGGTATGAATTGAAACCGGCTTCAATAAAAACTCAAATTAAAGTTGCGAACAGTCTGAAATGACAGCAACGCATGTGCACAATAGTGAATTATAAAACGAAAATGGCCAGCAGGTGTAAAACTAGTCTGCAAATGAGGCATTACGCGAATAAGGATTTTTCATAATTTTGTGCCAGTCCCATGTAAAAATGCGACAAATTCTTATTTTCATTTTGGTTTGACTTCGTTCCAGTCACATGTAAACAAGGCCATGTAAACAAGGCCTGTAACTCTTCCCCGTCCTCAAATCCTCACATCGATACGTCTATCATAAAATAGCCAAATATTACGAGTACTTGGTATCTTTCGTATTACACAATGTCTCTCAATACAAATAATTATAATAATAATCCTTGCTCTGGGCTAGAGCCGCCTCTAGCTGTCCACTGTTTATGTACTGTCTGGAAGCTAATTATAAAGTATGACGTAATGTTCGTTTTGTAATTGTCACATAATTGCTATTTACAATATATGACGTAATTTAACTCGAATTAGAATGTTACTATATAATAACGAGTCAGCATGATAAAGCTAATCAATTAGTCTGACATTATCTTAACGTCAGAATATTTATTTGTTGTAACTTATATTTAAGAAACAGCAACTTTATTATGTATACAAATATATTATTTGCTATGATTTGATAAATCTATTGTCATGCAGCCTGAGGTCACTATAAACTTCGAACATTTCTCAAATTTAAGCTAGCGCTATGCTTTTGGCTTTTTTTTGAACAAAGGGAGGCACACTCAATTATTGTGGACCAAAATGTATTGCTTTTAATAACGGGACCGTACTTAATTCAGCCTATGCCTGGTTTTAGGTTAGAACTAGAATGCTAAAGCGTGTGTGGAAAAGGTGTATGGAGTTTAAAAAGAAAATGCCAATGGACAAATGGAAACTTTTTCTATCGACTCCATCTGTGGCACAGAAAGAAAGGTAGAGAAATAAAGTTTCTATATGTTAAAGAATAAATGATACAACAGATCAAAAACCCTGACGGTTCTAAAATCATAATACTTCGAGCTATCAGTAAAATGAACTATGAAAAATGTGTTTTATATATATAAAAAAAGTGCATGATATACATGTGAGGGACGAATACGATTTACCCTTTCTCAGAAAAAAGTAAATGGTATTATAACTCAATTGAATTGATCCTTACCTCACAACTTCAAGATTGTGTTCATTTTAGGGCACTTGCTCTCATCAGTTTGATACACTACTTAAGCAAGGAGTAAGTGAAGATGAAGATTTAGACCTTCTCGAGTTATGTATTCTTTCGTCTTATTAATAAATAATTCTTATCTCATAGACCTTAACAGTATCTAACAAAAAAATTTGGAAGATGTCATATCGCAAGCACAAGAAACTGCTTTATGTTAATGAAGGATCAGTATGGAGAGCACTGCTTGATGAAAAACAGGTCTGAAGAAACAGAAGTTGCATGTGCTTATGTTTTAAATTACAAAATGTGAAAATTTAAACAGTTTCATATCTCTTACATTGAAGATGCATCAGATGCAGCAGCAATTTCGAAATCAAAAAAAGACAATCATAATTCAAGAACGTCTTATCCAAGTTCTAACACAAAATATAACAACTTTGAGTAAAGAGTTAGAGCTTCATAACGATAATTTTATAAATCAAGCAACGCACTCCTAGAAATTGAAAAATCGTTGAAACAGCTTATAAATATAAACATAGGTATGCAACACACCCCACACAACGATATTGGCGTAGCCAGCCTGCAAATTTGATCCAGCTATGCAATTTTTCTGTATTCTTTCATTGCAAAAAATAATAGGTCATGAATTGAATGATAAGAATGCTCTGCAACTTATATATAGCAGCTGCTGGTTATGTAACTTAGTTTTGGTTTACATTTTCTACTTACGGGGGAAACTACGCGCTCCACTATTTCTCAAATATGTCATCGCTACTAACTACGTGACATTTATTTTAAAGAGATAAAAATCTCGGAATAGCTGAATTTTTTTTTCTAAGACACACACTTCACAACAGACATTTATTTATTAATGCTGTTTAAGAGGCATAAAATAAGTTCCAAATATAATTTTCAATACTTTTTGTCATCTCAAATGTAATTTAAACTTTTGTGGCACTCTAAACAAACTTTTCACCTGTTCAGAGATTCAAAATTACTCAAGGAATTCAGCAGAGTTCAAAATATTTGGGATCAGATTTAAAACATCTGTCCGTATTTACTGTGATATGAAATCAAAAAAATGGTGTTGGTGTTACCGTAATTGGACACGACAGTGAAAGAAGAACACGTGTTGAAGGATGTCAGAGTGCTGGCTGCTACCGTCGAACCGATAAAGTTGATCTACCAATGCATGTCATTATCAAAATAATTCGAAATTCTGCGAATAGTGAGCAGTTTATAAGATATGAGTGTTACGGTAGCATAATAACAGATTATGCAAGATCGGTATCTAGAAATGATATCACGATGAATTTGTGGGAGGGTGCAGCAAAGGGCAGTGAAAATTGTGATTGTGGAACTACCAAAAGTTGCAGTGAAATTAGTAAAAAATGCAATTGCGATAAAAATGATGAAACTTGGAGATCAGATAGTGGATATCTTACTGACAAAAAGTTTGCTCGTTTCTCAACTAAAATTTGGCGATGCTACTATTTCTTCTGTAGAAAAAGGGTATTACACCGTTTGGAAGTTACGGTGTTGGGGTTGAGCATCTTGAACATAAGAATACTTTTATCATTTTATACATTTACAAATGCAACTTTTTTTGCTAGTTAAGTATTAATTTTCTTACTGTCACACTTTTGTCAACATGTTTGTATTACGATCCTTTCCTTTGATGTTTCCAATAATGTTTGTGTAAAATGTCAAATAAACTGTTTTAAAGCGTGTATAAATCTTTGAAATGCTCACCCAATGCTCACCAACAATTCTAAACAAAGAGCTTTTTTAATTTGCTACTTTAATTAAGGAATGAGCTTAAAGATATCAAAAGCCTGCACCGTCATACACCGTGTTTTTTTCGAATAGGCTAAACTCTTGAAAAACAAAACTGACTATTTAGCTCGGGAGCTTACATTAAGTGTATAAGATCAGGGGTGGATCTAGCATTTTTCAAACATCAGGCATGCAACAGCGGAGGCCTCCTTTCTGGCTTTAGAGAAATGCAAAACTTTTTTGCGGTCATTCGTTTTGAATATTTTTTTTCAAAAAAAGTTGTTAAATGAACAATATATGACTGATAGAACATAAAATTGATGGATATAGTCAAAAATTTCTACCAAGTTTTCAGACATAGACTCCGCTCTTCCCCCCCAAAAAAAAACATTTACAGCTCTATGCAAAGAGTTTGGTGTGAAATAAGGTACCATAAATGACAGTTTATAGATTTAAAGAAGCTCAGATTTCAAACCATGCAAGTTGATTTTAGCTTTTCACCCAATTCTACGCACAATACCAGAAAAATCACCTTTTAAGAAAAAATCTCAATTCTTTTCGGCAAAAGATAAACTATACAATGTCAGAATGAAAATTTGTGCAAATTAAGAACAGCTTACTGCAACTAATGTTCATTAAGCATCACAGTACACTATTTTTTTCGGTTATTCTATGCAAGCTGTGCTATATAGCAATAACCAGTTGCATTGTACTTGCCAATATAAACAAGAATGTAACCAACATGCCTTTAATTATGATTCCTTGAATTGGATATCATAATCATTCCTTGTACTGAAGATGGCATAAGCATGCCGAAACATGTTTACTATAAAAAAATTGTCGCTTACTTGAAATGCCTCATAAATATAGTGCTTTTAAGAATTTATGGAATTATGAAATTACATGAGATGACAAGTACGCATCACATGCACATAATCATTACTGAAAATGTCAAAATCCTTTCATGTCTTGAGCTTAATGGTTATATTTTTTATATTATCAAAACTTGTTAAATTTTAAATCTGAAATAATTTAGTTCAGAATTATAATGGTCGTCAGAAAAAATTTCTAGTGACCATGAAAAACTGAAAAATACTTGCGCAATTCTACCGTAATTGCGCGCCAGACAAAGAATTTTTCAAATGTGCGCGCTTGCCCGTGTACTTCGCTAACAACTGCGCACACGAGATTTTGGGTGGGCAGTGCAAACTTTCCAGACTGATAATTATGTTTAAGGAAAATAACACCATGGCACCTTATGGCTACAGATCTATTCGTCCATTGAAAAACATTTGAAGGAATGTAAGATTTTGCTACCATATTAGGACCAGAATCCCCGATCAACATAGAAATCATAGTTAGAAGTCATTCGGCAACAATAATTTTAGAAGCATTAACCTGCTTACCGTACACCATAAGGACATAAATTTGATCACATAATCTCATAACTTGACTTTGATATCTTTCATGGATACGTTTATGTTATCATTCACCGGCAATTTTGGACGTAAACTTCTGCAGAGAAATTTCTACTATTTCACATTTACATGCACGTTTAACAAATGCTAGATTTGATGAACAGAAGTTTTGCATAACACTTTTTTTTATTTCTCTTTTGGCACAAGTTTAAGTTAATTGTCGTTGAAGAAGGCCTTTTAATTGAGCAATATTGGTGAATTTAGTTTTCACATAACATAATAAACATCAGCACACATACACGCAACACCTATCAAATGGTATAATACTTTAACTATCCATTTAATCTGATAGTTTATTATTCATTACCAACAAACGCAAAAAAATCTTCACAATAAACACTAACCAAACACACTGGATCATACTAATATTCATGTTTACTCCGTGACATAGATGGATCAACAATAGGAATGTAATTTCTTCGATTCTTTCCAGCGCTACACCTCAATGGCACTTAGAATGTTTTCTTCAGTTACAGGAAATCATTCGAGAGGCAAATATTAACATAGCACAATATTTCTGGCATTGAAACGATGGATTTGACCAAGTGACCGGTTTACGAAAACATTTATAGGTGAATAAATTCGCGACTCCTCACCGATATCGCTCAAATATATGTTAAAAATGATCGCTGTATATTTCTCTTTCTTATAAAACTTGGTGGGATAAATTACGAAGGAGTATGCTGGCAAGAACTGCAAAAAAAACCAATGGCTTTTCAATGAAGTGAAGATTAAATTTACTTTAAAATACCCAAATTTGAAGTGGACAAGATTAAAGCTTACTATTCCACCCAGTAAACACCTAATGTTTTCCGGGTGGAATAGACAAATACTCCACATTTATAACCGTCTGATTGTCTAAAGTGTGGCGGCTGTATATATTCACACTGAAATAACTGAATGCTTTCCTAACCTGTCTTAACAACTCCAACTTAGCTGTAAGAAACATTAAATGTTAGTGTACTACATACTTTTGAAGATGCAAAGGTGTGAAGAAAGAAATGTTTTAGTTACTAATTCAAATTTCTTACCTCAAATTGTCAAGCAGATTTAAACAGTGGCTTAGCCAGGAGAAGTAGTTACTCCCGCCCACCCATGTTGCGCCAAAATAACATAGTATACGACACTTCCTAAAATGCATAAGGAGAGATTCTTTTTAGCATTCCACTTGTTAGTTTACACTTGTTTAGATTGAGACGAGTAGACAGGGATGGCTTTATTCTTTAAAGTTATGCTTAATTTTCTCAATGAGGTACCATGCATTTTAAGAACAAATATCAGAATAAATATCATATTTATAAAGAAATGCCAGCCTCCTTGGTTTTTCTACAAATTTTTCATCCACCTCATTATGCTACACCTCTGATTTCTATTTTTGTTCAATGATATCTTTGTGAATATATATTCTACACAAAAAGTTAAGCCAACCTTGTCCCATTCTATTCCTGAAATAGCTTTTTACCCATTTCAAGCATGAAATGACCTCTCTACTGAAGCACTTGCCACTAACAAGACACCATTCAATTTTAACATATTTATCACTTGACGTAAACTTGACTGGAGATTAAATTTGGAGGTGTAATTAAGCACCTCATTACTGCACTCTTTGTGAAAGTCCTTGTCGTTGCAAATGCAAGAAAGTTGACTCTCCAATATTGGAAAGTCAAAAAGAGGACTATACTTCTCTTTCAGAAGATGGATCTTCTCCCGTGGAACTATGCCCTTCCATGTAGTAAATAGTTTAGGATTTTCAAGATCTAAAAACTCGAACTATAATATCTTGAAATCGTTCAAGTGATACAATGAACTGCTTGAAATTGTCAATCTTGCTTATGCCATGATTAAGATGAGTTTCCCAATTTTGAAAAAATGGAATACAAAATTGTGGAGGGTTCTAAAATCCTGTAAAAACACACACTATAAATCAAAAGAGAGAGCTATCAAGATAATTCAGTAAGCCACTTATTTTACTTAATGATACATCATCCCACCCAGCTGGTTGTTCAAGTACCCCCTCAAAATATCCAAATGTTTTTCATAGTTGTTGTGCAATACATTGATTAATCTAGATTGATTAGTCTAGAAATAATACCATCTTGTTTCACTAGGGGCAGGAAACTCAAGGTTGTTAGATGTGAGAAAAGCTTTTCTTTTTGGGTATTGCTTGTAAATGTGCTGAATGCACCTGTAAAATGGTGGAGAAATCGCACTAGTATGCATTGAAATGTGCGAAAATAGAGGGTTGCTAGGTTACAAGACAAATCTTGAGCTTTTGCGGTATTACGATTACGAACCACCAAATAAAAGCGTCAAAATGAAAGAATAAATTACAAAATTGTTTTTGAAATGATGTATATCTCATCTTTAAATAGAATATTTATTATTTTTTGGGGAAATTTCTCCTCCCGCCAGGCGTGGGTAGCCGGACCGTTAGCTACGCCACTGGATTTAAAAGGATTGAGTTGTGTTCAACATTTGTTGTGTTAGAGTTTCCCATCATAGGATCAATATACATACGACATTTTGTAATTTTATCAAGAATATACAAAAAAAAACATAAAGAAAAACTTTACGACAACATAGATCTTAAAGATGGTCTCCCTTATTTTACACATTTTTTACTTCAGCAAAACGAAAAATGAAGTGCAAATTGTTTTTGATGAGTTACTTACGAACAAAGTCCAGTGCACTCCATTTATGTTCAAAGGAAAGAAAATCTTTTCAATGTTTTGAAACTTTTCTCCCTGCCAAATTTAATGGCTGCTTGAGCCACGCTTTACAACTTCTGTTAAGGTTGTATCGGCAACCAAAATGCTCTTGTTGTTGCAACTGAGTTGCGCAATGTTGAATCAAATATCTAGAATGATTTTTGCTTTACTATTTTTGTATTTTACTAAATATTGACTTAATACTTGCTATTAGCGATAAGTGACACCGCAGCATTAATGATTTGAAGAGGAGAGGGCAAATATTCGTACGTATATTCGTAGTAACTGCTCGTAAAAAACAATTAATTTCGAATGAAAGTAAGTAGGCAAAACACGCATTCAACTGAGGTCAGTTATATAAACAATAAACTACATTTTTTATTGTTGTATCGCGGTGATCTAGAAATAACATTTCAATAATTTTGTTTCACTTCTTGCTTAATTACTGAAAAAGGCTCAGTTATAATTACTTACGTACCGTCAAGCAATTCTGGCACAAATGAAGGTGCTTTATCTTTTATTTCTTTTTCAATAGAGTCCCTTTTTGCCAAGTGCTCCACAAGTCGGAATAGCATCACTGGCTTTCATTTGCAATATGCCCGAATTCAAAATAGAAACTGGACCACATTTCTCTAAACGTGAGTCAACCTCCAGTAAGCTAAACAAATCATAACATAAGTTGCATTATAGTTGTTAGTTTCAATTACCCACACAATGCCTATTTGTAATCAAGATAATGTATAGTGACTTACGTATGTCTTACATTGTTAACTC